CCTGGGACAGATGTGTCCCTAGATATCCACAGACCACACAGACTTCCGCACACACAGCGCTCCCCGACTAGACTGTGAGCTCCTTGGAGGTAGGGACAGGCCTTCACCCCCAAAGCCAGTGCTTTGCACACAACAGATGGTTGGGAAGCGTTTGATTAATTGAAGGCAGAACTACACTTGCACACACCTGGGGAATGAACACACACAACACACACACACAGGCACACACACTCTGCTCAGCTCCTCTCCTGGAACCTCCTAACGTGGGGCCCCTCCCGCCACCCTCCACCTCCACCCTCCACCCTGCCCCGGCCCATTTGGCCTTCCTGTCTGAGGCAACCTCCTCCACAGCCCGCACCCCCAACTTCCTCCCCCTCCTTCCCCCGCACCGAGGTAATGCCACACCCACCCACTCCCACAGACCAGGAGGGCCCCAGCTGCCAGCCCTGCCCTCTTCTCCAGACCCCCTGAGCCCCTGGCTCTGGCCACGTGGGTCCCTCACCCTCCCTGACCTAGGACTTGGCTGGGGTCCCAGTGGTGGTGGCCAAGTGCTGGCAAAGCAGCTCCAGCTGCTCAGGTGGAAGGGTGACCCCGGAAGCTAAACATTTGCTCAGCCCCGAGGGGCGTGTGTGGGTGCGTGGACGTGGCGAGGGGCCCGTGGCTGGGCCACGAGTAGAGCATGGCCCTGGTCTGAGCCCACCAGGTGGTGTCTCCCATCCGCCTGTCCCTGCCATGCCAGGCCACCGGGCTGGGCTGCTCGGGAAGGCAGGTCCTGGCTTGTGCCTGCTGCCTGCGCCCTGTGCCCTCCCGGCTGAGTCAGTGTCCAAGCCCAAGCGAGCCCTCTCCCCTGCCGCCCCACCCTCACGGGGAGCCTGGGGTCCCTGCGTGTCCCCATCAGGCATCTGTATGGCTCGTGTGGATGCCTGTATGCTCCATGTTAACACCAGCTCCTGCACATCTACTGGAGTGGGTGTTGCAAACGCATGGTTTGGGGCTCTCTGTGGCCGCTGGGTGAGCCCACGGTGACGTCTCTGCTGAGTCGTGCTGTTCTGACAGTCGGTCCAGAGGCATGTGTGGGTACTGAGGATCTAGAAGACTGTATATTGTGCTGGTGTGAATATCATATCAGGGCCTGTGTGTCATGTCACGGTGGGATGGTGACTGGTGACTGTTGTCTGTGTGGTGTGCTCAGTGACTCTCTGGGTGATAGTGCTGTGTGACGTGTGCACTGTGTATTTCCTAGTGCTGTATGTGTAACTGAGGTGTGAGTTGTAGTGTGTACTCTGGTACCCCCAGAGCTACCAGGTGTGTGTGTGTGTGTACACGTGTACACATGTCTATGGAGGTGAGAGGACACTCTGTAAAACTGACCCTGCTCTTGTCCCGCAGGTCTGCCTGGGGCTGGGCAGTGTGCACCTGAGCCCAGAGTCCCAGCAGCACAGGCCCTCCTGCTGTCCCCACTCCTTCCAGAGGCAGAAGCAAGAGTCTGGTCCTTCCTGCTCTGTTTCAACACTATGGGACAGATCCATCGGTCAGTGCAAGGGTGTCTCCATCTGTCTGGCTGCTCCAGTCTCCCACACACTCCTGCACCAGCGCACCCTCCACCCCCACCCGCGAGGTCCCAGAGGGTGCTCAGGACACCAGGAGGCAGTGCCTGCCCTTTGGGATCCTGGCAGGGGACTCCGTCCTGAGCAGGTTACCTGTAGGGATCCAGTATGGAGGGGACACCTTCGTAAGTGGCCCCAGCGCCCCTGGCAGCCGAGTTTCAGGGACCAGGAGAAGAGCAGTGAGGACTAAGGCTGACTCAACCGCAGCTCAGCAAGTAGCTGCCCCATCGGAGGAGGAAACACCTTCTCAGGAGGGCCTGATGCAAAACCGGGCCTGGATTCCGGTTCCCCAGGGGTGTGCCCCAGTCTCTGCTTTCAGAAAACCCAGAGCCGGTTTGCTGGGCAGGAGAAGGCTGGATCTTGGCCCCAGCTCCACTGCCAACCTACCTGTCACTCCTGCCACCCTTGGGCCTTGGCTGCGCCACCTGTAGAATAAGGAGCAGCCCCCTCCTACCCGCTGAGGAGCTGATAGGAAGCAAAGTTAGAAGCCTTTCTAAGAACCAGGGCAACGGAAGGATTGCCCACTGCAGTCAGACAGCCCTGAGCAGCTTCTGCTCTGCTACTCTGTGACTCGGAGCAGGTCTCGCAGCCATACTGAGCTGCAGTTTTCTCCAATGCAAGCTGGGCAGCAGAGTGCAAAGAGCCTATTATAAGGGAAATGAAAGTGCCTGGCACAAGCTGGCATAGAGTGGGTACCAGGTGCTCCCTTTTCACAGCCACTGCCCCTCTGTGTCCACATGGCCTCCTGGGAAGTGCTGACCACAGCAGCGAGGCTCCCACACCCTCCCTCCCTGGGGACTCCCTCTGGGCATCCGATTCTGCTGGAGTCTGCCCCACCCTGAGAATGGCGTTGAGCCCTAGATTACGTTTACTGTAAGACCATGGACCAAGGCCACACGAAAGCTTTGAGACCCCAAAAGTCTGCTTCACCCCACTCTGCCTGTCATGCTGCATTCCCCTTCTGGGTATGGACCAAAGGACCAGACCTCAAGAGAGGAGGTGGGGCAGGGAGAGGACTAAATGACACCCACTCCTTTCCTCCCTCATCAGCCATGTGATCACCACTCTGAGCACCTGGAGCCACTCATCTGCCCCAGCCCAAGGTCCACCTTCCCCACCTTCTTGCAAGTCAGTCTTATTTTCTGAGTCTCTTTTTACTTCTCTGTTAAATGGGGTAATCCCTTTATGGTTTTGACTACAATTCAATGATATCCCTTCATAAATAAACATGCATGTACCATTGTCCCCAGAGCTTTACTACAGACTACTCCGTCCCTTCAGCACCCTGGCCACCTGTGCTCCCTCACCCCCCATGCAGAACGCTCCCCCACTGCTGTCCCTGCTGTGGGTACGGCTCAGTGCCTACCGCTGTGGCCAGTTGGTTAGCGGCCCAATCCTTCGGAGAAACAGCCCCTCCCCAGGTCCCTCCTTGGGCTCCAGGGTGGCTCCAGGGGGCGCTGCAGAGCCATGCTGCTGGGTTTGAACATGGTGCTACTTGTCCTACCTCAGTTTACCTCTCTGCTTACTTCTTCATTGGTAAAATGGGGACAATACCCTGACCTCAAGGGCTTTATGACAAAGCTTGGCACATAGCCAGTACTCAGTAACTGTTGGGCAATTTTTTAAAAATATTTTTTTATTAAATTATCTGTGTACACATTTTAACATTGCCCCCCCTTCCCATACATACCCATCCTCCCCAGAGTTTTGTGTCCATTGGTTGTACTTATATGCATGTACACAAGTCCTTCGGTTGATCTCTTATCTCCCCCAGATCTCCCTACCCTCCTGGCTGTAATTTGACAGTCTGCTTGTTGCTTTACTGTCTCTATATCTATCTTTTGGTTCATCAGTTTATAATGTTCTTTAATATCCATAAATGAGTGAGGCCATGTGGTATTTCTCTTTCATTGACTGGCTTATTTCACTCAGCATGATGTTCTCTAGTTCTATCCAGGTTGCTGCAAATGATGAGAATTCCTTATTTTTTATGGCAGCATAGTAATCCATTGTGTAGATGTACCATAGTTTTTTGATCCAATCATCTGCTGACGGGCACCTAGGCTGTTTCCAGATTCTAGCTATTGTAGATTGTGCTGCTATGAACATAGGGGTGCATATATCCTTTCTGATTGGTGTTTCTAGTTTCTTGGGATATATTCCTAGGAGTGGAATTACTGGGTCAAATGGGAGTTCCATTTTCAGTTTTTTGAGGAACGATTTTCTTTTTAAAAAATATATATTTTATTTTATTTTATTTTACAGAGAGGAAGAAGGTCAGAAACATCGATGAGAATCATCAATCAGCTGCCTCTTGCACACCCCCTACTGGAGATGTGCCCACAACCAAGGTACATGCCCTTGACCAGAATCGAACCCGGGACCTTTCAGTCCGTAGGCCGATGCTCTATCCACGAGCCAAACGGTTTCGGCTGTTGGGCGATTTTCATGGCACTTGTTTTTATGTCCTTTCTCTGCAAGGCTAACGGAAATTCTGCTGGGCAGAAGCAGGCTTTGAAACATTTCCCTATTTTGCTGTGGTTTTTCTCTGTACCAGAACTCACCCTCTCATCCCTCCCCCCACCAACCAACTCTCAGATGGACCCCAATATGCAAGAAAGATTTCTGAAAATGGCATTTTTCTGAAGTGGGGAAAACTCGGTCGAGAAACTTCAGGCTTGGAAGCGCCCGCCCTGCGGGCCGGGGGTGAGCGGAGGTCGCCGGTCCAGGGCTGAGGGCCAGTCGCTAGAGCTGTCCCCGAAGCCACTCTCAGGACGAACTCAACGGGCTCGAGCTCCAGGGACCAAACCCCTTACTGGTCCAACGAAGTGACACAGGGCAGAGGGCAGGTCAGGAGACCCCGCCGAGGAAGCGAGTTCCAAGCGGGGCTCGGGAAGAAAGGCCGGGACTCCTCCACGGAAGCACAGGACTGCGTGGCGGGGGCTGGAGAGCAGGGTGTGTGGAGAGGAGAATGCAGGGCCCTGAAGGCCAGAGTGGAGGCAGCGGAGCAGGACAGCACAAGGGACTGGCCATGGGACTGATGAGCATGGCAGGAGCCAGGGGCTGGGCTCTCTCGGCTTACCCCAAACCGGAGACCCCTGGGCTGTGGCCTGCTCATCCTGACTCCCAATCCTATTGCCAGGGTCCTCCCTACAGGGAGGATGGGAAGGATTTCAGTGCTCATTGGCCTTGAAGGGAAAGCTTTGCGATGGTGGGAGAGGAACTCCCAGGGCCTGGGCCCAGGGCAGATACGGGGGGATGCTCCGTCCAGTAAGCCAGGCACTGGGTGAAGACTTACCCAGACCCCTTGCCAGGGGCAGAGGCACCCAAAGATATATGAGCTGAAGAAGTGAAGGGACCGCCGAAGGGAAAAAATAAGGACAAGGCACTTTCTGGAGTTTAAATTCTTTATCGTCCCGTCCAGGGATCGGGGGGCAGAAAGGAGGGGGCAGCACAGGGAGGGAGCCCTGGTGAGGAGGAAACGGCTCCCTCAGCTTCATGATGGCACTGGCTGCTCCGGCACATCCTGGACCCAAGGGCTGCCATTCCCAGTGAGGCCCACCCTCGGGCCGGGCCAGGCTGTTTCCACTGCTCTGATCTCAGGGTGTCACTGGACACATCAGGCCCCGACTTGCTGAGGGGGATGGGCTCAGGTGAGAGATAGGCCCTGGGAGAGGGGAGAGGGGGGAAGGGGCTGCATGGTCTGCAGGACCCCAGGAGATGGGGTACAAACTACTCCCAGTGCAGCTTCTGGCCGAAGGGGGGCCATCCAGTCCTGCTGGACCATTCTAGAGGCCAGTGGAGAGGGCAGGGTGGCTTAGCTAGTGGAGACTTCCTAGTGTACAACACCCACCCCCGGATGGAGGCCTGGCAGGAGAATAGGCTCCAAATGCCCTCCCCTTGCTTCCCCTCCCCACCAGACACTGAGCTGAGGCAGCACAGGAGCAGCTACAGGAGAAGTTTAAGTCTTTCCCACAGATGAACAGAGAGGGTGCCTGAAGCACTGGGAGGAGGTGCTCACCAGCCTGGGGAGGAGGGCACAGGGAACTTCTGAGTGACCAGTGAGACACAATATGCAACTACCCCCCCCCCCCCCCCCAGCCCTGCTCACCCTCAGCCTATTCCATCCCACTAGCCCAGACTCTTGGATCAAAACCAGCAGCAGGCCCATCCCTGCCTCTTGGGGAGAGAAAAAAGAATCTGGAACCAAAGGAGTGGCAGGTCCAGGGCCACGAGGCAGCCATCACCGAAGGTTAAAGACCAGGCTGGCAGCTAAGATGACGCCCAGGAGGAGGACGAAGGGTAGCCAGGTCTTCACGAAGGCCCCGACGCTGAGAGAGGAGGGGAGTATTGGTGGAAGGGCCGGGAGAGTGAGCCCCATCCCTCCAAACCCGGGAGGGGCTGCTCTCCCCCCTCTCATTTGTACCGAGGGACTGGGCTGGACCTGGCACCTGCGATGGGGGAGTGCCAACTGCAGTCCCTGGCAAGAGATGCTCCAGGCTCCTGGTGGAGACGGGACACCTCCCTGGGTGGGTGACAGATGTGCCCACCTTTTCTAGAACTTATTGGTTCCATCCACGACCACCCCAGCCTCTGGGGAGAGGTCTCCAGTCAGAGGACGAGGCCCTTGTCTGGACATGAAAGCCAGGAGCAGCGTCTGCACACAGCTTTCCTGATGGGGCTCCCCCGAGAGGGGAGGAGTCAGCAAGAGTGAACAGAGTTGAGGCTGGAGTCAGGGCTCTGGGTACACCCGGCTCTGCCTCGGTGTGTGCGAGGCCACAGCTACAGACATCTCAGGGGACCTCTAAAAGCTCTGGGCTGTAGAAAGACTCCCAAGAGCCTCTTCTCAGACGCTCTTAATGATGAGGGCAGCGAGGAAGGCTGCAGAGGCGGCCTGGCTGCCGGGTGCGTGCTGGCTCCACGTGGGCGGGCCGTCCAACCTCTCCGAGCTGCCTCTCCCTGTGGATTGGGACTGACACCTTTGACCTCCCTGGCGCAGGTGCTGGGAGCCGGGAAGGGACCCTGTGGGGTGGTCACCCACTCTCCGGGGAGGGTCTACCTGTTCACTTGACCTGAGCACAGGGCTCTGTGCGCCCACAGTCTCTCCAAGGAGCCAGAATCATTCCCCCCATTTTACTGAGAACAGCTGCGGCTGAGAGCCAAGGCTGTCACCTGAGAACTCACAGTGAGCAAGTGACGGAGTGGGGCTTGGGACCTGGTGCAGCTGATCTTCAGCACAGCCACCCCCTTCTCCACCGGGAACTCAGCTAGTTATTCTAGAACCTTCAGCATCTCCAGCCAGCATCTGCTTTGTGGGCTGAAGGACCGCAGAAACGGCCCTGCTGGGATCCTTGGGAGAGCAGCCCCAGGGAGCGGGGGGGGGCGCTCACCTGACATACTTCCCGTAGAGCAGGAGGAAGAAGCAGACGGTCACCATGTTCCAGCTGGTGCTGTTGTTGTAGCGCATCAGGTTCAGGGCCAGCGCCACGTGTGAGTGGCAGTTGTCGCAGCAGAGATTGTGCTGGAGATGCAGAGAGGAGGTCACGCGGGCTGTGGGGGAGCTCCCACCTGGTTCCCACGCCAGGAGCAGCTCACGTACCATGTGGTGCTTGTACTCCTCAGAGGCGTCGTGCACAGCTGTGTCCCACGCACTGGGCCCGCTGGCGTACACCCGGGCAGGGTCCAACTTCCAGTACCTGAGGGGAGAGGGGCTCTGGGCACTGGTTCAGCTCTGCCCACGTTCCCTGGTGCCCGCTCGGTGCAGGGCCCTGCGCTGGGTACTGAAACTGCAGGGGTGAGCCAAGTCCAGGCCCGGGTGACAGTGTGGTACGCCCAGTGCCATGTGGATCCTGGGGAGGAAGGAGCTGACTCAGCTGGGGTGACACCGAGTCCAGCCCGAAGAGCAGCTGCCGGGCACAGAACAGCGAGTGGGCACTGTAGGCAGAGGGAACAGCCTGAGCAGAGGAAGAGGCACAAACTGCGCAGCACGTAGCAGAGATGGAGGAGGGACAGGGGGAGGTGAGGCTGGAGATACAGGTAGAGCCATGTTGTGGAGGACTTGACATCACCCTGGGGAGTTCATCCATCAGAAAGCATCCTCCCCCATCTCCCCACAGGAGATTAGGGTGAGCCGGAGAGCAGCCAGGGAAGCTAGAGCTCATAAACCTCAAGCTGAGTGAGACCCCTGAGGGAGTGCTGGAGGTCAGAGCGCCCTCTGGCTGCTCTGAGTGGAATGGCTTGGTACAGAAGTCTAGAGCAGCAGATTTTCAAGGTGTGTGTGTTGGGGGCGGGGGGAGGGAGGTGCCCCCAAGAATTTTTAAAGCTTGCAATGCCTCACTATTGAGTCAGGGCACTGACTTCTTTTTCCTTAGACTGTCCAATTTAAAAAATGACAAGAGCTAACACAATAGTAGTCTGGTGTCAATGAATCACAATTATACTTTTTTTTTCCTTTGTCAGATCAGCCAAAAAAATTTTTTGGGTGTGCCACAGAATTTTAGTAATTAGTTTTTCTGTGCCAGGATATAAAAAAGGTTGAAAATTGCTGGCCCGGAGACAGGGGGGCCAGTGAGAAACCATCACTGCCTAGGCGGGGGCTGCTCAGGGGTTCCTACCCAGAAAAGGGTGCCAGGAGCTTCCCACAGCAGCCTGGCAGCAGACACAGCTGAGAGGCCCTGGGCCCACAGGTCCACCTGCCCGAGGGAGCCGCAGGCCGCCTCTGCTGGGTGAGACACCCACCGCTCCTTGGGCCTGGCCCTCCTGGGTGCAGGTTGTCTGAGCAGACAGATGACAGGGGCATCGTCACCAAAGCACAGGGAGGGGGCCCCGAGAGAGGAATTACAGCCAGCCAGCAACAGCTGCAGAGGACTCCACCTGCTTCTATTCTCTCCATCCAGAACTTTCCAGGGGAGCTCCAAACAATGCCTCCTGCACTGAAAGGGTGTGTCTGCTCCTTGAGGGGCAGGAGAAAGAGTCTAGGTTTTGGAGTGAGACAGACCTTGGTGTGAGTCCCCACTCTGCCACTTCCTGTGTAATCTTGACCCAGCCTCTTCCCTTTCCTCACCCTCCCAATGGAGCTGAGAACACGACTGTGAAGAGCCGAGGCAGGGCTAGCTGCCTGCGGGAAAGGACCTGGCCAGGGAACCTGGCCCAGGGTCGGTCACACGGGCGTTCAGCACTTACTTGACAGGCTTCCCAAAGGCCATGTTGTCTTCCTGTTGAGGGACAAGAGCAGAGGTCAGTGGGAACCCCATCCAGCGGGAGGGCAGACCTGGGTTGGCGTGGAAGTGCAGTGACTTAGGAGGCACGTCAGTGGGCAGCTCTGGGGCCGGTCGGTTTGTGAAGTGCCAGAAGCAGCATGTTGGTGGAAAGAAGGCAGCATGGCACAGAGCACTGCACACTGAGATCAAAGACTCGGGGTGCCAGCCACAGCTGCCCCTTGGTGTGGTTCCCAGTGAATTCTCTCTCTCTGGGCCTCCTTTTCTTCAGGTTCTCTGGTCAATTTCTGATCGTTGATGACAGGGAGGCAGTTCCTTCCTCATATAAATGAGGACACCCTGACCTCCGACCCAACAGCAGCGCCCAGAGAGCCCGTCTCTGCCTCTGCCGGTCCGGCTGCGTTCAGAGCAGGACGGGGGGTGGGGTGGGGGCACTCGAGAGGCCTTCCGTGAGGGAGGCATTTAGCCAGGTCCTAGACCTGCCACATAAGATGTGTAGGGGCAGATTCTGGCTTCTGAATCTGCTATCAGCTGGTCAGAGATGAATTATCATAAAGGTACATGAGAGTGAAAGCAATGGCTGTGAAAGACCTGTTGGTTACGGTGATCATAACAACCATTAATATAAACAGGCTGATGCCACCATATACCCCTTTACTTCAGCTTCTGATGAAGCTACTGTACAACCTCGCAATAGGCAGGAACAAGCCCATGCTCTGGGCTTGTACCCGTTTTGGGCGCATCCCCCACAAAGGCCTGAGAGCGCAGCTGATTCACTGTAGAAAGCCCACCCTCTTCTCCACGGCCACACCCAGGGAACCACGGCAGCCTCCCCTGGTCCCCACCTTGTGACTCCCACCTTCTGAAGGTCCAGAGATGTGGTTCCCGGATGGTCTGACTCCACTCTTGCCTCTAACCCCTACCCATGTCTCAGTACCCAGGGGTGGGCAAAGGGCTGGGTCAGTTACTTAAGAGTCCTTCTGGCCACACTGCCCTCCTGGCCTGTCCTGGAGGCAAGAGAAGGGGTAAAGGTGTCAAACACCGGTGAGGGGCAGAGGGCCAGGCCCGGGCCGTGTGCTCTCTGCATTCTCTCGGGTCTCAGGGAACTAGGGAGCTGCCCGCAGGCGAGACAGGCCAACCTTCCGCTTAAGCCTTGGAACCCTCCAGAGGGGGAAGAATGGGGGCTCACCGAGACAAAGTAGGGGCCAGCAAAGTCCCGAATGATTCCTGTGGATGTGCAGATGCCCATGTGGCCAATGATGGGGAAAAACCACCTGCGAGAAAAAAGAACGGGGAAGGAGCTGAGCTTGGGGGATCTTGCAGCCGGTTAGACAGAGGCCAGGGACACCCCCTCCAGGGTGGGAGCATGTGATTAAAACTTTGTGTGATCGGTGCCAAAAGGATGGACGGAGGAGCTGGGGAAGCACAGAAGAGGGGCAAGTGCAGATGAACAGTAAAGGGAGACCACCCACAGAAGGGCCAGAACTAAAAGGACGGTAATGTTGAGTGGGTGAGGATGAGGAGCAATCAAACGCTCATGCACAATGGGGCCTGATCTCCGGCCAGGCCTAGGGACCCTGTGTGTGCACGAATTTCATGCACCGGGCCTCAAGTATCTCAGTAAGTAAACTGGGGTGCAGACATACAATAAAATAGGAGGCAACAATGGAAAACAATACATTTCTGCTACACACCACAGGTTCTCACAGACATAAGGCAGAGTGAAAAAAAGCCTTACACAAAGGAACATACATACTATTCTGTTTATATGAAGTTCAAGAAAAGGCAGAAGTAATCTGGAAGTGCCGGAAGGCAAAAGAGGGGTGATCTCTGATAAGACTGACCGGTGTAAGGAAGCCCTTTGGGTATTGCAAATGTTCTCTGTCTTGATCTGGGTTACATAAGTATATGTATGTAGAAACTCATTGAGCCCTATATATATTTATAGATTTGAACATTTTATAGTATATGTTATAGCTTAATGAAAAGTTACTTTTTTAAGGATGGAGGAGGCATTTAAACCAATCTGTGTGTGTGTGTGGTTCAGGGAAGGCTTCTCTGAGGAAATGATGAAGAAACAGTATGGGCAAGAGTAAAGATTAGGACAACAGCATGGTGAATTCCAAGAACTAGAAGTTCAAATTCTTAAAAGTCATGGGTATTTAAAAAACCCATATCTCACATGGATCCCAATATGCAAAACATACAGGAATTCCAGATTAGTCCGTGGTCTGAAAGCATGGCTGTAAGGGCTGGAGAGACTGGTCCACTTTAAGGGCTGGCAGGCCCACTGGCCAAGTCTGGTGTCAAGGCTGCACCCAGCTGGGGAGGTGGAACAAAACCGAGAGCTGCAGCTCGAGGACGTGACTATGTGGGGCTGGGCAGAGTCAGGAAAGACTTCACAGATGAGGCAACTTTTAACTCTACCTGTGAGAGAACAGGGTGTCCACGGGCAGAAAGCAAAACTCTGAAGCTGCCAAGTGCTGCGTGTGTCTGGAGAGTGGGAGGGGGACAGCAGTGAGGGAAGGGCAGTGGTTCAGAGGTTATTCTGAAATACTGGCAAAAAATGATGGGGACCCTGACCCCAGAATTGGTGGTGGTGAGAAGCCAATGGATTACAATATCTTTGTTTTTTAATTATTTAAAAAACACTTTTTTATTGATTTTTAGAGAGAAAGGGAGAGGGAGAGAGATAGAAACTGCATCAATCGGCTGCTTCCTGCACACCCCCTACTGGGGACTGAGCTCACAACCTGTGCAAAAGCCTTCAGTGAGGATTAAACCAGTGACCTCTTGGTTCCTGGGTTGACACTTAACCACTGAGCCACACTGGCTGGGCTAACAGACTTTAAAGGAAAGACTGGACATTTTGTCATTCTCCACAGGTTACAGGTCTTCCTGGTCTGCGGTCTGAGCACAGGAGAGGATGGGGCCCGAGTGTTTTTTTTGAGAACATAATTCAGATTCCATCATTCCTTTGCTTAGCACCCATTAATGGCTTCCCATCACACTTTAAACTCCTTTCAATAGTTTGGCCCTACTTATCCCCTGAAGTCACCTCATGTCTCTCTCTGGCTACACTGCCTGCCTTCAGCTCCAGGGCACCAAACCCTCCCGCTTCAGTGCTTATTTTGAATTTGTTTCTGCCCAGAACACTCTTCCTCGTAGCTTTGGAGTACTAGATGCTTACTGCAGCTTGTCTGTAACTTCGGAGGTTTTTCTTCCCTGACCATGCCTTCTAGAAGAACCACACACCCGAGGCACCCTAGATCCCATGACCCTGTTTTAATTTTTTTATGGTGCCTACTGCTTTCTAAAATGATGGCTGCTTACATGCTTACTGTTTTTCTCTTCCCACGAGTGTGTGAGCTGCAAGGGAGCAGGGTTTTCTCTTGTCAGAGTAGCCCCCAAGGCAATGCCTAGCATGCAGCTGGAGCTAAGTATTCATTGACTAAATTTTGAATGAATGAATGAATGAATGAATGCCCCGCATTTAAGAGTAGAATCGGGCTCTGAAATCAGACCTAGGTTGAGAGGGAGAGGGATAGAAACATCAATGAGAGAAACAACAATCAACCAGCTGCCTCCCTCATATCTCCCACTGGGGATCCAGCCTGCAACCCTGATCAGGGATCAAACCTGTGACCTTCTGGTTCCTGGGTTGATGCTCAACCATTGAGCCACACCAGCTGGATGGTTTTGCACGAATTACTCATTCTCATCGGTCAGTGATAGGTGGAGAGTAATAATAGTTACCTCAATGGGGGGCTACTGCCAGGATTTAATAGGACTTTGTAAAGTGCTTAGCACACTTCCTTGCACTTAGTAGTTGCTCAATGTTGTTATCATGACGTTTTCAATAAATACTTGCTATCTGATCAGCTAGACTGGCATAGAGTAAGCTGCTGAAGACCCATAGTGGCCATAGGATGCAGACTCAGAATTGTGGGAAAGTAGTTTTGCTGGTTTCTGACCCTAGTCCTCCTGCCTGCCCTTCCCCTCAATTCCTTCCATCCAGTTGGGGAGGAGGTCTGGGAGCAGTGCTCCACACACACAGCTGTGCTGACATCTGCTGATGGAAATGAAGAATAAAGGCCAGAGACAACACCGAGCTCTGTGCCCAGGGAAGTCCCCAATCAGAAACTCTCACAGTATTTGTCAGTCTGGAAGCTTCGTGAAGGCAAGCTCCACAGCTGCTTCTATGCAGATCTGGTATATAACAGGTCCTCAGTAACTATTGAATGAATGAGTGAATGAGTGAATGTGGAGCTTCTATCTGGGAAGGTAGAGTATCTCAATAAAAAAAGCCCCAACATGATTGATGACTCTCTCTCATTGATGTTTCTAACTATCTCTCTCCCTTCCTCTCTGTACAAAATCAATAAAAATATATATTTTTTTTAAAAAAGCGGAGACCGGTTTGGCTCAGTGGATAGAGCGTCGGCTTAGGGACTGAAGGGTCCCGGGTTCGATTCCGGTCAAGGGCATGTACCTTGGTTGCGGACACATCCCCAGTATGGGGTGTGCAAGAGGCAGCTGATCGATGACTCTCTCTCATCGATGTTTCTAACTATCTCTCTTCCTTCCTCTCTGTACAAAATCAATAAAATATATTAAAAAAAAAAAAAAAAAAAGCCCCAACAGACCAACCAGCGGAGCTCAGTGGCTGAGAGTCACCTATGAACCAGGAGATGGAGGCTCAATTCCTGGTCAGGGCACATGCCTGGGTGGTGGGCTCAGTCTCCAGTAGAGGGCATGCAGGAGGCAGCTAATCAGTGATCCTCTCTCATCATTGATGTTTCTCTCTCCCTCTCCCTTCCTGAAATCAATAAAAATATTTTTTTTTAAAAAAGAAAAAAAGCCCCATGCTGGCTTCTAAGCCCTAATTTCCTTATCTAGGAAATGGGATGACAGTATCTATTTTCATTTGGTTGATGTAAGGACTGAATGAGATTGTGAATATAAAATGTTTGGCCCAGAACGGAGTAAGTACCCAGCCTTAGCTGTTTTTATTAGTAGTAGCTATTATCTGTCTTTTCTTGAAGAATGATCAACTTCTCTGAGATCTTTGGATTCAGCTGCTTCTCCCCCCATCCAGAGGGAGATGACAGTTCCTGTGCCACATCTATTCCTAGTTCTGTGCTCTAGGCCAGCAGACAGTGTATGAAGCTGGTGGTTCACCTGTCTCTCTCCCTGCTGTTGGAGTGAGTCTTTCTATGTGCACATGAGCTCTCTGGCTCAAGGGATAGAGTGTTGGCCTGGGGACGGAAGGGTCCTGGATTCAATTCTAGTCAAGGGCACAAACCTCAGTTGCAGGCTCCTCCCTGGCCGAGGAAACCAATCGATGTGTTTCTCTCACATCGACATTTCTCTGTCTTCCCCTCTCTCTCCCACTCTCTAAAACTCAATGGAAAAATATTCTCGGGTGAGAAATTAAAAATGAACAAATAAAAAGGACATTTAATGATACAAGAAGCTCAGCTTCACCATCTGAGAAGGTATGTCCTACCTTAGGAACGTGGTTGTGAAATTCAGAGAAAAATGCCCGAGAGAGCGAGCTTGGGCAACTGTCCAGCACTGTGAGCAGCGGCTATTATCAGCTGTCAAAGGCTGATTGATGCAGGAGGGCAAACCAGTTCTCCCCAGCCAGAAGCAAAAAAAGGCGGCAACACTGCCTGCCGCCTGCTTTCTCTCTGATGAAAGCTAATGCCCCAGAAAGAGAAAAACACCCTGGAACCCAAACACGCTTTGCAACTGAGATGGTGTGTAATCTCCGGGGTCATCGTAAGACAAAGCGTGGACTCCAGATCTCGGGACCCTAACACTGTTGACATCCCAGGGGCGGGTATGGTCCTAACAAACTCCTCCGGGCTTGGCAGGATATCTTGTGCACAGTAAAAAAAAAAAAAAAAAAAAAAAGAATAAATCGTGAATGTGAAGATGTGTCCTCAGACCGAGTCAGGGCCCCAGCCACAGAGCCCTTCGCTGGTCTACAGTGGTCTCTCTCCGTCACTATGAGGTGCAATGGGGGCGAGGGGCATGTCCCACCGTCAGCAGGAGCTGGCACGGCTCGGTTCGGTGGGCCGGGCCCGAGGGGGAGGCTTGCTGGGCAGCGGGCCGGCGGCTGGCCCCGGGCGGCCCGAGCACCCCGCGCGGACCCCGGCTCCTCTCCACGTCCCCAGGCGGACCCCGGAGAACACTCACGAGAGCACCGGGATGGGCGTCCACACCACGCAGTAGGGAAAGCGGCTCCGCTCCACGTCCATGGCGCCGCTGCCGCTGAACTGCTTCTGGTCCATCTCGGCCGCCGTCGGCGCCTCCACTTCCGCCATCCCGGGCGGGGTTGGCTGCCGCGGCAACAGAAGAAGCGAAATCCCTTCCGCTTCCGCCATGCTGTGCGCCCCCGCCCCGGCCCGCCCCTGCAGGTCGCTGACTTCCTTGTGGCGTCACTTCCGGGAGGTGGGTCCTCCCAGCGTGGCCTTCCCACCGGGAATCAGAGTCGCGTCCCTCAGGGCCTGGGCTGCCTGGGCCCCCGCCCTCGGAGCCCTCCAGCCTTGCAGGATTGCGCCTTCACCCCGGGGTGGAGGGAGGAGATGCCCTCAGGCCGCGCGGAGACCAACCCAGAACTACTTCAGTATGAAATATGGTAGCAACCATACTTTGGTAAAAACTGCTGTTTGAATTTTAACCCTGCTGTTCTGGCTCCTGCACCTGATTAAACACAGGATGGTTACCTCAGCTTCCCGGCAGAGACCTGGAGGCTGAGGCAATTTTCCTGTGCCTGGGACCAGGAACTCCAGGAGATGGATTCCCACTGACTCAGTAGCTTCAGGGGTAGAAACTGTAGATAACTTTTAGAGACTAACCGCTGAGCTCTGATCCTGTACTATCTGCTTTCTCAAGATAGGGCCACATTCCAATGTCCAGCAGGATGTGACTGGGAACCAACCCTGTGGGCTGTTCCCAGCCTTTAGAATTTAGAATTCAGAATTCAGAATTCAGAACAAAAGAAAATTCTTGTGGTTTTAGACCTTTTTTTTTTATTATTATTTTATTGATTTTTTACAGAGAGGAAGGGAGAGGGATAGAGAGTTAGAAACGTTGATGAGAGAGAATCATCAACCAGCTGCCTCCTGCACACCCCACACCGGGGATGTGCCTGCAACCAATGTACATGCCCTTGACCGGAATCGAACCTGGGACCCTTCAGTCCTCAGACCGACGCTCTATCCAATGAGCCGAACCAGTTTCAGCGGTTTAGACCTTTGAAAGGACTGCCTGCACCTGCAACGGTGCGATCGTGAGTGTGGCCACCTGCGTGTGGTGCTTTGGCGGCCGTCCTGGCCAATTTTTAAGTAAATCCTTGCCTGCTTTTTTTAAATCAATCATCAGCCTCCGGTGGTCTTATTTTGAACCCAGGGTTCGACCCCACAACAAGTATGCTGAGGGCTTGCCCCTAAAAGGTGTCATGCAGTTGCTATTTATTGAGCACGCCTTAGGTGGCAAGCACTTGACATATATTGCCTTTAATCCCCATGAATTGGTTAGACCTGCGAATTTAGGTATTTCTCCCAGGTTACCAGTGAGCATTTGAGGCTCAAGGATAAAGAACACGACTCAAACCCAAGCCTGTCTCCCTTGTCCTTTTCATTCCATCATCTTGACGAGGCCGTGTGGCATGAAGGAAGGATAGACTAAACTATTGTGTCGTGTGTGTCGAAGTAGAGGAGACTTGCCTGAGATATTTGAGCCGGGTCTTGGTGTTTGCCAGGTGGCACAGGGGTGAGAAGGGGGTGGAGGGATCCGTGCAGCTGTGCAAAGAACGGCCTTGCAGAGCACAGCGTGCAGGAGGGAGAATATCACGTTGGCTGGAGTAAATCCTGAGCTTTAGGTGCGATCCGATCCCTTCGTTGTACAGATGGGAAGACTCGGGTTTAGGGAAGGTATATAATTGTCTGAGGTATCTCACAGCCATATAGAGAAACCATGCTCAGATCTTGGATTTGTTGAGCGTTTTAAAGGATGCCAAGATAGACCAAAGAATGCAGCGGTGGAAAAGGGAAACAGGGAAACAAGAAGGAAGACAGCTCTAAAAAACAGGCCAGAGGGAGATATGGACAAGTCTACCAAGGAAGGTGGGAGTTACGCCTTTTTGGGAAGGTCTTCTTCCCTTGAATTACCCTCCCTCAATGCTGATCTACAGAAAGGCTGCTGCCTGTCTTGTTTTTTAATACCTAGTATTTTTTAAAATTTTTATTTTTATTCATATCAGAGGGGAAAGTGAGAGATAGGAACATCAATGATGAGAATAATTGGTCAGTTGCCTCCTGCTTGCCCCCCACTGGGGATTGAGCCCATAACTGAGCATGTGCCCCAACCAGGAATCCTACCATCACCTCCAGGTTCATTGGTCAATGCTCAACCATTGAGCCACACCAGCTGAACACCTAATATTTTAATGCATTCTGAGGGATATGTCTATCTGTTATGGAACTCTAAGGTCCTTGATTTCAGTAGCTAGCATAGTTCCTTATGCAGAACAGATACTAAATATGTGTATTGATTTATTGAATGATTGGATGTTTTTAAAGACCCTCATAGATATCACAGATGAAAATGACTTTTAACCCACTTAAAACTCTAAGTATGTTTGTGCTTCTCCTGTGACCCATGTGTGGTGTGTGATCCTTGAAGGGCATCTAGCACAGGGTTTGGAATAGATCAGGCGTGCAGTATGTATTTGTTGAATGAATAAATCACATTACACCTTAATTCAATCACTATAGCTATCTAATCTTCTAAATCACAGGCTGAGGAAGGTCTATGCCTTAGACATTCCTCTACTATCATTGTCAACTCATAATTCTAGTCCTTTATTGTGTGGATAGATGAATAAACAACCTAAGAGCTTTCTCAGGGTCTGCCACAAATTGGGTAGTAGTAACACAAGCACTAATCTGACAACCTTGTCTTCCCATTGCACTTCAAATAAACAAAAATACCTTACCATGGTTACAAGGCCCTGCATTTGCACATGCCCTTTTCTTGTTTGTCCACTACACTATGGTCATCTTGGCCTTTGTTCATTCCTCTCATGTGCCATGCTCTCTCATGCCCAGGACCTTGGCACACACTGTTCTCTGAAATCCTCCCTGCCCCCCAACACTTAAACTGGCCAGCTTCCATTCATCTTAGATTAATTGTCTCCTTCTCAGAGAGACCTTCCATGTCCACCCAATCTAAATCAGACAACTCCTCACCAAAACCAGTTTGGCTCAGTGGGTAGAGCGTCGGCCTGCGGACTGAAAGGTCCCGGGTTCGATTCCGGTCAAGGGCATGATGATGCAGGCACATCCCTGGTAGGGGGTGTACAGGAGGCGGCTGATCGATGTTTCTAACTCTCTATCCCTCTTCCTTTTTCTGTCAAGAAAATCAATAAAATATATTTAAAAAAAAATAAATCAGACAGCCCCTGCACTCTCCCTTGAGACACCCTATTTTCTTCACAGCACCTTTGTAGCTGTGTACTATGGGATTCCCCCACTGAGCTGGAAACTCCTTGAGGGCAGAAACTCCCTGTTCACTTATGTAAACCCAATGCCTAGTATGGTCTAGCACATAGCATTTGCTTAATACATACTTGCCAAATTGAGTGAGTGGCAAATATTTCATTGGTGTCTACAGACAGTCTAAGGACAGGAACCTAGCTTATCACCTGCTACCTCTCGGTGCCCCAGGCTTTTTAAGGGACCCATGGAGGTTGATGGGTACAGTGCCCTGGAGTAGGTTCTGACCAGAGAGCCCTAGCTCCCTTCCCTGTGACCTGCACCATCCTCCCTGGGCCTAGGTAGCTGCATGTTAGGCAGGCACACGAGGAGGGCCAGGTACCTGGAGGTCTAGCTCCTCTGACTCCTCTGGGGCGCCTACCCCAGGCTTGTTCCCCACCAAAGCCCACCACAAGGGCCCCCGCCCCCCCCCTCACACACACATTGCCTTGTTTCTCTCACCCACGGTAAAAACCTTCTTGGCTTGTGCCCATTCCTCCTCTGTGGCTGCCACCCCATCACCCACAGACAGATGGGAAATCTCCATCAAAGACTGACACTTCCTCCCAGGCCCAGGATCCCAGCGGGGTCCTGGAAGAAGCTCCTGTAGCAGAGCTCAGGAGAGGATTGATAGGGCTCACAGCTCCCCCTCCCCCAACACATACAACCTAAAATAGGAATGACCATCTGGATCCACTTATAGGGCAGGCTGGGGGAGGGAACGAGGGCAGAGCTGGAACTGCCAAGCCGGGAAAGCTTGGAGGGTAAGCTGTTGCTTGTCTGAAGGGTGAACTCAGGGCACGTTCTCTCTTGGCCCCACGTACAAGTCCCCGGGCTCACAAAACACCTCTCTCGGGCCGTCTCATTCCTCACTCTGATGGTCAAGGCCCCCCTGAACTGGCCCCTTCTTTTCCACCCTCATCTCTGTCTCCCTCGGGACTTGCTTGGCATCAGTGCACTGGGATGTCTGCCAGTCAGAGGCACTGCATACCTCTTGTCTTTGCTCACACCGTTCCTTCGTTCCTTCGGCACAATGCCCTTCCCCTCCTCTCCCACACCGCTTTCAAGGTTTCTAGCAAATGCTTCCTCTTTGCTCCCAGAGCACGGAGCTGTTTCCACCTATTGAATATTCATGTGTACCTGCATTAGCTGTTTACATGCCGGGCTCCCCCAAGAGACTGCGAACTTCTTGAGGAGGGAACTGACTGGATCTATCGGTTCCTGTATTTAGCACAGCATCCGGCAGATAGGAAGTGCTCAGGGAGTGTCGCTGGAGCTGCTTGTTGGCCAGAGATGGCCCCCTTTAAGGATCTGGGGAAGAACCGCCTCCATCAATAGCCCAGGCAAGCAGGGCTGAATCGGGGCCCATCATGGAGGAGGCTGGAGGAGCTGCTGGGCGTTCTGCAGTGTGTGTGGTGTGTGGGAGCCCGGGTGTCCTCTCTCCCGCAGTCTTTCTGCTTCTGTTCCATTCATTACCTTCTCTGGTTCTCCTCATGAAACCCTTGACTGTCTCCCAGGATCGCTCCAAACCCTTCCATGGTGAGGAGGGGGTCCTTTGAGAACAGACCTTCTGATGCATTAGATATCAAGAGTTTATGACTTCCTTTTCCATCCCATTTTATAGATGGACGAACATACCCACGATTGTAGAAAGCACAGCTAGGATCAGAATCTCAGTCCCCTCCTCCCAGGTGGTCAGTAAGGCACTGTGGTTAAACATGCGGACAGCAAGCCCAGTGTTTGAGCCTCTGTCAGTGGTTGTCATACTCTAGGAAAGTAACTGAACCTGCCAGGGCGTCAGCTTCCTCATCTCTAAAATGGGAAATAAGTCACATCTTATAGGGTTCCTGTAAGGTTTGATAGGCTACAACTGAACAGT